GCAGGTTGCAATTGGAAAACATCAAAGATTTATGATAAAATGATCAGCAAAGGGAGACATTTTACCCACTGGGATTCACAGGGACCCATCCTGCAGAGGGGACAGCATCTTTTGGCCTTCAGTGGCTAAGGCAATGGAAACTCTAAACTTAAGTCCAGGCACCCAGGGCACACACAACAGCCCAGCCCAGCATGGCTCCTTCAGTCCCTCTACTGTCTCCACACGGTATCCCATCCCCACATGTAAGGAAGCCCCTGGGCATGCTGTGGCCTGTAGCCTCAGCTCTGAGCCTTTCCCCTGATCACTTCTGTCCTCCATTCCCATCCTATTCTCAATCTTTCATTTATTCTGTTAATCAACTAATGTTTGCTCCACTGCTTACTTGGCCAAAAGGACCATTCACTTTAGATGAAAGGATTATTCAACTTCTTGGTAAAATCTGACCAAGGATCTTCACTGGTGAACTCAGTATTGACCAAGCATAGCCTCAGGCATTCACCTAGTTTTGCCCTCACCTCACCCCACAGAACTCAGCCTCCATGAAAACTCATGTCTTTGACTCTTCAGCCCAGGGACACTGCCTCAGGCCAGCCGGGGACCACCCCTTCTGCTCCAGTGCAGCACCAGGAGCCTCTGCCCGGACACTGCCCCTCAAGCTGCCCTACTGCCCATGAGCCCAGCCCCACAAGTGGGACCCGGGCAGAGGCAGCCAGGGACTGGAACCTTTGGCCCCAGAGTCTTATGCTCTTGGTTCACTGGTAAATTCTGATTCCCCACTTCAGAGCCCTCAGTCAGGCTGCTTCAGGTGGCACCCTGCCCTGAACATGTGGCCTGGACCAGTCCCAACCCCAGGGAAACCTCACTGAATTTCCTAAGCGATAGAAGTGGTAAACGGGTCTTGATATACTGCGCCACCAGGGAAGCCCTAAATGATTCTATTTTTTGACAAGTAGAACATTTGCTTGTTGAAAGACCCCGGCCCAGCTCTATTAGTGTGTAATGAGTTTATTCTGAGTTTCCTCTCAGATCTTCCTTTCCTGCCTTCTCATTTCAATCCTCTGGTTTCTTCTGGGAACCCCATGGGACAGCCACGTGGACTGCTCAATCTATTAACCATAGATCTGAGATCTGGTGGCTTGAAAGCCTTCAGTGAAAATTTCTGAAGGCTATCACTTGGGGGAAGTGGACTAATTGTTATTTGCGGAAGAGGAGAGATTGTGTTTCTCCCTGGGGCCTCACTGGAGCAATGGTTGAGTGTTTTGTCCTTGAAACATATCTGAGACCCTGGGCGGTTACTTCCTGGAAACCTGTGCTGGACACTTTAGGTGCCCTGACTCACCCCTCTCGCCTTCATCCTGATTTCTGACATGGACGGGTGGACTGTACCTGTGAGCCTTGCCACACTGCAGAAAGCATCTTTCTCTTTGACTGGAAGTATGGGGGTGCTGATAAACCCCAGGGGCCGCTCTCGATGGATGGGAGATGAAGGACTCTGTTAAATGCTCTGCTACCAGCCTTAGGGTGGATACCTCCCATCTGAGAGGCATTCCATATTTTCCTTGGGCTGTTGGAGGTTGGGGAACAGAGTCTATGGCAAGCAGTGCCACCCTCCCTGCACACCCCTGTACGGGCTTTTTTTTTTTTGGTTGTGCCAGGTCTTAGCTGCAGCAGGTGGGCTCCTTAGTTGCAACATGCATGTGGGATCTAGTTCCCTGACCAGGGATCGAACCCAGGCCCCCTGCATTGGGAGCATGGAGTCTTATCCACTGCGCCACCAGGGAAGTCTTTGTATGGGCTTTCCTTGCTTCCCTGATCACTCATCACTCCCTCCCTCACTCCTGCTTCCTCCCATCTCCTGTCCAAAAGCCCTTGTCTCTGCTTTCAAGAGAAACCAAACTAAGATAGACCTGCAGAGAGAACTGGGCTGACAGAGCCTGCCCATCACTTTGTCATGGAGGGTGGTTGAGAGACAGATGGGGATTCAAATCTCAGCCTTGCCTTTTACAAGCTGCACGTATGTAGACAAATTAACCTCTCAGGAGCAGGTTGCAATTGGAAAACATCAAAGATTTATGATAAAATGATCAGCAAAGGGAGACATTTTACCCACTGGGATTCACAGGGACCCATCCTGCAGAGGGGACAGCATCTTTTGGCCTTCAGTGGCTAAGGCAATGGAAACTCTAAACTTAAGTCCAGGCACCCAGGGCACACACAACAGCCCAGCCCAGCATGGCTCCTTCAGTCCCTCTACTGTCTCCACACGGTATCCCATCCCCACATGTAAGGAAGCCCCTGGGCATGCTGTGGCCTGTAGCCTCAGCTCTGAGCCTTTCCCCTGATCACTTCTGTCCTCCATTCCCATCCTATTCTCAATCTTTCATTTATTCTGTTAATCAACTAATGTTTGCTCCACTGCTTACTTGGCCAAAAGGACCATTCACTTTAGATGAAAGGATTATTCAACTTCTTGGTAAAATCTGACCAAGGATCTTCACTGGTGAACTCAGTATTGACCAAGCATAGCCTCAGGCATTCACCTAGTTTTGCCCTCACCTCACCCCACAGAACTCAGCCTCCATGAAAACTCATGTCTTTGACTCTTCAGCCCAGGGACACTGCCTCAGGCCAGCCGGGGACCACCCCTTCTGCTCCAGTGCAGCACCAGGAGCCTCTGCCCGGACACTGCCCCTCAAGCTGCCCTACTGCCCATGAGCCCAGCCCCACAAGTGGGACCCGGGCAGAGGCAGCCAGGGACTGGAACCTTTGGCCCCAGAGTCTTATGCTCTTGGTTCACTGGTAAATTCTGATTCCCCACTTCAGAGCCCTCAGTCAGGCTGCTTCAGGTGGCACCCTGCCCTGAACATGTGGCCTGGACCAGTCCCAACCCCAGGGAAACCTCACTGAATTTCCTAAGCGATAGAAGTGGTAAACGGGTCTTGATATTCATAACAAATCCCTTTCAACTACACCTGAGTTTGTTAATAGGTAACTTTTGGAAAATATCTAAGGATGGGGTCTGGTTGCTAGGGGAACTAACTATGTGATTAGAGGGTTGGAACTTTCAGCCCCATCCCCCTGACCTCTGGGGAGCGGAGAGGGATTGAAAGTTGAATAAATAGACAATGGTAACTAACACAACATCGTAAAGCAACTATACACCAATAAAAATTAATTTTTAAAAATTACCAGTGGTCAGGGCTTCCCTGGTGGCGCAGTGGTTGAGAGTCCGCCTGCCGATGCAGAGAACACGGGTTCGTGCCCCAGTCCGGGCAGATCCCACCTGCCCCGGAGCGGCTGGGCCCGTGAGCCATGGCCGCTGAGCCTGCGCGTCCGGAGCCTGTGCTCCGCAACGGGAGAGACCGCAACAGTGAGAGGCCTGCGTACCGCAAAAAAGAAAAAAAAGAAAAAAAAAATTACCAGTGGTCAATGATTTAATCAGTCATGCCTATGCACTTAAGCCTTCATCAAAACCCAAAGGGCAGGGTTCAGAGAGCTTCTGGGCTAGTGAACACATGGAGATTGGGGGAGAGCAGTGCCTGGAGAAGGCATGGAAGCTCTGCGTCCTTTCTGCATACCTTGCCCTGTGCATCTCTGCGGAGCTCTGTGAGTCTGAGGAGGGTGCAGAGAGTCTGGAGAGTCCTTGGGGACGGGATGGAGGAGAGATGGATGGGGTGATAGATTCAAAATTTCACAGCCAGCTGGAGAGAATGGGGTCTGCCTGAAGGAAGTGTTCAAAATGGCCCATGGATAAGATGAGCGAGAAGAAATTCTCCTCACCGGGCACCTGCTGAAAATCGCATTTGGGTGAAAACAGAGAAACTCATTTTGTCAGCATTTCCCCTCTGAGGTGGTGGCAGATGTGATGGGGGGAAGATTTCTGTCCAGCTGTGCAGAAGCGCTTGTAGAATAGCAAGCCCTTGGAGAATAGGCGAGCAGCAGAGAAGGTAAGATGGGCTGTCATCTAGTGCGCCCAGCTTCAGGAGCGAAGATTTCAAACAGTTCCAAGAAGAGTCATGATCCCATGAACTGAGACGCTAAAAGGGAAAATGACTCAGGAGAGTTAGGAGACTGTCAGCAATGAAATCCCAGCTACAGATTCACAAATGAGCCTTAGGAGACATTAAGGAAGCTGAAGAGCCTGGGGAGGCCACAGGGAGCTAGGATTTCAGGCCATTTCTGAGGGTGGAGGGAAGGGCATCCGGCCAAGGGCAGATACACAGGAGGGACCAGCCCAAGAAGGATGTCAGCAGAACCCAGAGAGCTGGGGAGGCAGAAGGACAGCTTTGGGCTGTGCTTGGGGCAGCGGGGGATGCTAACAATGACAGGAAGAACACAACCCCGTCACAGTCCATGTGGTCTGTCAGAGGGGCTAGGGGAAAAAACACAGGAGTGAACAGAACCGAAGTCGTAGGAGAATAACAAAGCCAGAGTTGAACCTCAAGGCATTTTACGAGGTCTGTCCAGATCCTGGTGGACCAGGTGGCAGGATGCTAAGTGGACTGCAGTGGGTTGGAACATCCAAGCCCGTGGAAAGCTGGTGGGAGGGTCCAGGTCTGACAGGTGCAGCAGATTCATCTGAGGGACAGTGAGAAGCCCTCGTCTAGGAAAGGTGGAGAATCTCAGTGGCAGGTACGGTCACCAAAGAGGAGCACGACCACCAATGTACGTCCCCACCAAAGGATGTGAAAAAGCAGAGAGCAGACACCTTACTATGCTTGACTCTTACCACAAGCAGAGACTTAATCACATAGCTCTACCCCCAGAGCCTGGAACAGGGCCTGGCACATAGCAAGTCCTCGATAAATATTTGCCGAATGAATACATGCGAAAGGGATGGGAAGCGAAAAGAGAGCAGAAAGAGTGTAGGAACCAGCTTTAAAAGCACACAAGCCAGAAAGGAGCAACACAGCACATTGCAGGGGGCATGTGATCAGCGCCTGCTTTTTCAGTAACGCCAGGAGAGGAGAGGAGGGTCTTGGTGAGGGAGCACTTCAGACCCCTCAGCCAACTCCCAGGGGCAGCCTCTCACCTTGTCCCCCACCTGCTCACTGGTGCCCAGAGTGCTCCCCACTGGGGGGGGGGCTGACTGTTGAGCTGCACACCAGGGAGTCGACGTCCCCACAGTGCTCCAGGGCCTGGGGGGATGGGGTGACATGAAGGGCTGGGTGAGCCTGGAGATGGCCTGAGGAGGCCTCGTCCTCCCTGAGCAGCCCTGTGCATGGGACATTGAGGCAAACTTGCTAATTAGGGGCTTCCCTGGTGGCTCAGTGGTTAAGAATCCATCTACCAATGCAGGGGACACGGGTTTGAGCCCTGGTACAGGAAGATCCCACATGCCACGGAGCAACTAAGCCCATGCACCACAACTACTGAGCCTGTATTCTACTAGAGCCCACATGCCACAACTACTGAGCCCGTGCACCACAACTACTGAAGCCCGCATGCCTAGAGCCCATGCTCTGCAACAAGAGGCCTGCACAGCGCAACAAAGAGTGGCCCCCGCTCGTCGCAGCTAGAGGAAGCCCGCATGCAGCAATGAAGACCCAACACAGCCAAAAATAAATAAATAAAATAAATAAATTTATTTTAAAAGCTTGCTAATTAGATACCATCTCCCGCAGGAATGGTCACAAGGCTCCTGTGAGAACCAAACTCTCAGTGAAGGTAAGTGCCCTGGACAGGCCCAGGGGTAGGCTCTCCGGGGCTGAGGGGCTCAGGGGAGGAAACCCCTCTGGGGACTGGGGATGGAGAAATCCCTTTAGATCCCTCCTCAACCACAGATCTCCCAGGATGGGTAGGAGTGAGGTCTTCCCATGAACAGACCCCTTTCCAGAGAGCCGGCGTGAGCAGTGAGGTCCGCCCGGTTAGACTGTGAGCAGCTGTGGTCTCAGACCGCCTTCCAGGGCCTCCAAGCCCTGCGCCTGGCCCCTACCCCTCCCAGGGCTGAGCAGGCAGGGTGTTCTGCACACTCTCCCCACTGTGTCCTTCCACCCCCGGGGCCCCTAACTGTGTCCACCAGCTGCTCCTGGTCTCTGCCTTCCCCTGTGGCACGTGGTGCCCACAGTGCTCAGCCCCTCCTCCTGCAGTGCTGCCACCGCCAGGTCCACGTTCTGCTGCTTCTGGCTGCTGACGACCACATGGGGCCCATCCTGGGCCAGACGCTGAGCCATGGCGAAGCCGATCCTGCGGTGGAGATGAATGGAACAAAGCCTCAGCTCCTCGCTACTATTCTCCTTCCCCCTCAGCCCTGGAAATCAACAAAGCTGTGTCCTGCTCTATAGCCCTGGGGTCATTTTGAGCAAGTAAGGGTCCCTGTGAGGAGTCAAGACCCACAGGGCAATAGGATACTCACCCATCAGTGGACCCTGTGACCCCGGCTACCTGATTGGCCAGAATGCCATTTTGTTCTATCCCACTGCTGCTCAGCTGCACAGAGAGCCCGGCACAGGGACGGAAGAGGCCCCAGGGGGACCCAGGCCCTGCATGGTGGCCAGTGACTGGTCTACTTCCCGCTGAACTCGGCCCTGGGGGAAAGAATCAACTTCATTTATCACTGATGCCATCAGCAAGAATGATGATGATCTACCCCCAGCTCCTTTGGACAGACAAGGCCAGTGGCAGAGAGTGGGAAAGAGAAGCCGATCCTGCGGTGGAGATGAATGGAACAAAGCCTCAGCTCCTCGCTACTATTCTCCTTCCCCCTCAGCCCTGGAAATCAACAAAGCTGTGTCCTGCTCTATAGCCCTGGGGTCATTTTGAGCAAGTAAGGGTCCCTGTGAGGAGTCAAGACCCACAGGGCAATAGGATACTCACCCATCAGTGGACCCTGTGACCCCGGCTACCTGATTGGCCAGAATGCCATTTTGTTCTATCCCACTGCTGCTCAGCTGCACAGAGAGCCAGGCACCGGGACGGAAGAGGCCCCAGGGGGACCCAGGCCCTGCATGGTGGCCAGTGACTGGTCTACTTCCCGCTGAACTCGGCCCTGGGGGAAAGAATCAACTTCATTTATCACTGATGCCATCAGCAAGAATGATGATGATCTACCCCCAGCTCCTTTGGACAGACAAGGCCAGTGGCAGAGAGTGGAAAAGAGTCAGGCCAGTCAGGGTGAATTTCAAACAGGTGAGCCTCAGGTCAGGGAAACTTTCCTGAAAATTCTCTATTTATAAAAGGGGCAAATTAGAATGTGAGATCCAGAATTAAGTAGACATGATTATTTTCCCATTCATTCCATAAGCAAGCACCGAGCACTGGGCAGTAGATGCCGGGACCCCTGGTGAACCGTGGCCCCCAACCTCCACCCATGGAGCTTCCCAGTAGAGTGAGAATGCCAGATACCAAACTAATAATTACGCCAATTATCAATTTTAATGAGCTGCTTATAGTTGAAAAAGTAGAAATCAACGAAACAGTCAAACCTAGAGGGAGTATAAGCACAACCACTTTGGAAAATGGTTTGGCACTGCCCAGGGAAGTTGAACAAACAGCCCTCTGACTCTGCACTTTCACAACCCAGGAGTGCTGTCACATGTGCACCATGAGCCTGCACACGAGCATTCACAGCAACATGCTTTGAAATAGCCTCAAACTGGAACCAAGCCCAAATGTCCATTAATGGTAGAATAGATAGACAAATTGGGTTGCACTTATATAATGGAATACTATGCAGCAATGAAAATTAGGGAACTGAAGCTACACTGAACAACACAAATGAATCTAAAAAATGATATCATTGAGGGAAAAGAGCCAGACACAAAATAATCCTTTATTATGTGATTCCACATACACAAGTTTCAAAAGCAGGCAAAACCCCTCTATGATGTTTAAGAATGCAAACAGGTGATAAAACTGCAGAGAAAAGCAAGGCTGTAATTATCACAAAAGTCAGGAGAGTGGATATTCCTAGGGTAAAAGAGGGGGGACGACTGGGGAGCGGCAAACTGAGGGGTTTCTGGGGTGCAGTCTGTGTTCCATTGTATGACTACATGGTGTCCACTAAGATATGTGTGTCTTGGGGCAGGGATAAATTAGGAATTGGGGATTAACAGACATACACTACTATATATAACGTAGATCAGCAACAAGGACCTACTGTATAGCATAGGGAGCTATATTCAATATATTGTAATAACCTATAATGGGGACTCCCCTGGTGGTTCAGTGGTTAAGACTCTACACTTCCACTGCAGGGGGCGTGGGTTCGATCCCTGGTCGGGGAATCCCTCATGTGGATCCCGCATTGTTCCGCATGCCTCACAGCGTAGCCCAAAAAAAGAAAAACCTGTAATGGAAAAGAATCTGAAAAAGAATACATATACATCTATATGTGCGTACACATATAGATATATATGTAACTGAATCACTTTGCTGTACACCTGAAACACTGCAAATCAGCTATACTTCAATAAAAAAGGTTTTAATTGGGGGCTTCCCTGGTGGCACAGTGGTTGAGAGTCCGCCTGCCGATGCAGGGGACATGGGTTCGCGCCCCGGTCCAGGAAGATCCCACATGCTGCGGAGCGGCTGGGCCCGTGAGCCATGGCCGCTGAGCCTGCGTGTCTTGAGCCTGTGTTCCGCAATAGGAGAGGCCACAGCAGTGAGAGGCCCGCGTACCGCAAAAAAAAAAAAAAAAAGTTTTAATTAAAAAATAAATTAAAATTTTCAAAAAGAATATACCTCCACAAGAAAAAAAAAGATATGTGTGTCTTGCATATGTATATACATACATATATCCTTTTTATGTATTTGTTATATTTCACAATCAAAATGTTTAAAAAGTAAAGATTATCTGCTCATGGTAAATTTTTAAGTTCAAGCGGTTCAAAACTAGTTCAAAAATTAAGTCTCCCAGTTCTCTTCTTGGAGGCAAACTTCCCAGTGTCTCAAACACTTTCTCAGAGATGTTCTGTGCAAAGGGCTTTGTTTGAAACAACAAGCTTTCGTGTATAAACGCTCAATCCACAAAGGTTTTCCTGGGAGCATCCTGCCAGATGGTGGAGGAAGCAGAGGCTCAGTGGGCTCCTTGAGGGCAGTGCCACTTGCTCCCTCTCTGGGGCCCCAGAGCCTTGCCGGGCCTGAGTCCAGGGGTGCTCGTCAGTCTAATACATTACAGGGGTGCACAGCTCATTCTGCTCAGGCTGGGAGAATCATCACTAGGGAGGCTGCAGATAAACAGGACCCGGAAGGTGAAGGGAGGTCTGACGGGGGAAGCAGCGGGATAGGTGGTCTGTGCTCTGGTCCAAGGCACAGACTGACAGGAGGAGCAGAGGGGTGTGAGTGTCCACGGTGCTTGGGAGAGAGCAGGGCCACCTCTGTGCCTGGGGAACAGAATGGAGGACTCCTGGCTGCAAAAGCTGACTGGTTCTGAATGCCTGCATGATGACTCCTCCAGGCTATGCTGAAGTGAAGCTCTCTGAAGGGCAGCTGTGAGGACCCCAGGCAGCCAAAGGAGCCCCAAGCCAGGCTGCTGTGTGGAGACCCACGCACCCAGCTCACTTTGGGAAGGGAAGAGGTGTGCCACCCTAGCTATGCGCAGGATGAAGACTGGCATGGGAGACTCAGAGAGGAAAACATTTCCCTGTGAACTGCAAATACATCAGCGATGCTTGCCTAGGGGACCCTCTTTCCGCCCAACCCCAATTTTCCCAGCTCCAGGTCAGTGTGAGCCCAGAGGCTCCTGCCTCCCCTGTGGTGAGATTCCCGTTCACTTGCTGGAGAGCCCTGCCCCTTCTTGAATCTAGCAATGATTAGCTTCCTGCCAAGGGAGGTGGGAAAGGCATGGTTGGAGCAAAGGACTGTTGAGGATGCTCAAGGACTTGGGGTGTACTTTTTGGGCAAGACAGTGCCAGGGAGCTGAAGAGAGGCAGGCTCTGGCTGCTCTGGGCCCAGGGGCCAACGGACATGCCCTTTCAGGAGGCTCTGGTGTGGGCTGACTCTGTCCACAGATCTTCATCAGTTCCAGACCTGCTCTGGCCACCCCATCACAAAGGGACTCTGGTTACTAAGCAACCCCTGCCTACCTACTGCATCTCCCCTCGTTCCTTAGCAACCTTTGCATAACTCAGTTCCCTGGAGTTAGGTGTTGGTATCTATACATGATAAGAGAATGGGTGCTGCTCAGGAATTGTGGAGAAATTTCAGATTAAATATCAGTCTGTACCAGTGTCATAGTGTCATAATGAAGGTGACCAAATGCTCTGCTTTGGGAGAGACAGTCTTTGTTTTCAGTTTATGTCTCTTCTGGTACCCTATTTCCAAAAACACCCTTTGCAGGTCCTACATCTCCTTGCTTTTTTATCCCAGCTGCTTTCACTCTGTTTGCTCTCTCTCTCCCATGCTCTCTCTCTTCTCTGCAAGGTCATATTTACAGGCTTTTATTCAGAGGGATGAGGGATTTCAACTCCTGATGGTTTTACCTTTCTTAAACAGGACACCAGATTCTAAACACTATTCTGACCCCCAGGGGACTCCTCTCCCCTAGCTGTGAGCACAGATTAACCCCATCAAGTGTCGGGGGAATCAGTCTCCTTGGCTGGGAGGGCAGCAGGAAAAAGAGGACTTGCATTTTGTCGGGACAGGACATCCCCTGCTGGAAGGCTGGAATTATAGCACCTCTGAGAAGCTGTTCCCATCTCTCAGCAAGCCGGCATCCTACAACACTTCTTGCTGTAAGGTCGTTTGCCAGAAAGCTGCCCTACTTGTAAGGAAAAGCAGATCCAGGCTATTGCAGGTGAAGTGCAGAGAGACTGGTCAGGCCTCATCTATCTCTTTTGGTTCCCCTTCCTGTTCAAGTCCCCCTAGACCAGGGCCCGAGATTGAACGGCTTCCAAAGGCCCAGGCTCTGGCACCCTCTCCCCTCATTCTCACTCATCTTTACTCTGAAGCAGTCAGCTGGGCCAGAGTTGAATGCAGGTCCTGGGAGTTTGGGGTGGCCTCTGAACCTGGCACTGCCCACTCTGATTCCCCTTTCCATGCTGGTCAATTCAGATGCCCAAATGTGGAAGATGGGAAGTCAAATGGACACACCTCAACTTAGTCCCAATGTTGAGGTAGATGGCCTTCTCTTATCTCTTGGGTCCAAAGAGATAAGAGAATGGTAAAGGAAAGAAAACAAAGACTAGGGAGAGACATACAGTCATTAGAAACATCGAAAATCAGGAAAGAGAGGGAATTCCCTGGCGGCCCAGTGGTTAGGACTCCATGCTTTCACTGCTGAGAACCTGGATTCAATCCCTGGTCAAGGAACTAAGATCCTGCAAGCCACATGGGAGATGTCAACAGAAGCTGCGTGATCTTGGGTGTCTCTTCCCCTCTCTGGCTCCATTGGCACCTTGGTAAGAAAAGTTGAGCTAGGTGATCCTAAGGGCTCTGATAGTCCCACGAGCTTTTTTATGACAATCAGAGAAGAAATCAAGACTGAGCTGCAGGGACTTCCCTGGTGGTCCAGTGGTTAAGACTCCAAGCTCCCAGTGCAGGGGGCCAGTTTCGATCCCTGGTTGGGGAACTAGATCATGAATGCGTGCCGCAACTGAGAGTCCATATGCTGCAACTAAGAAGCCCACATGCTGCAACTAAAGATCCTGCATGCTGCAACGAAGATCCCATGTGCCACAACTAAGACCCAGTACAGCCTAAAAAAAAAAAAAAAGACTTAGCTGCAGACAGAGCCTGGGAGAAAGAAGCACCAGCACGAAAAGTAAAAAGGAGTGAAGGTGGGCAGTTCCGGCATCACAAACCCCAACCTGGGCACAGCATCCCTGCCCTTAGGCGGCATCGGCTCAGCCTCACCTGGCTGTGCTCCTGTCTGTCCTGAGC